AAAAAAAAAAAAAAAAAAAAAAAAAAAAAAAAAAAAAAAAAGTTCAAAATTAGAAAGGATTTCTATAGGAGCAGCTGTAGTCCCAACATTAGGAAAAGTACCAAGCCTGAAAGCCAGCCTAGTAAGGTTACCTTTGAGGTACCTTACCTAGGTAACCTTTGAGGAGCCCTATCTGCTATTTTTCCTGTTATTTCTTTAGCATTTCTTTCCTAAGTCATGTTATTCTGTGTAGCATTGAAGTATTGGGTAGTCCCAATATATTCAATCCTCACATCTCTACCATCTTGCTCATTTTCTATCTAGGCAAATTATTGACGCCTGTGGCTACAAATACTATCTATATGCTAATGACTCGAAAATATATATCCTTTCCCCTCTGAAAAAAGATCTGATTGGCTGTTTGGATATCTAATGGGCAATCCCATTTAAATAGACAAAAGGACCCTAGGGTTTTTTATTGTTGTTGTTGTTTTTTAAGTTGCCCAAATAGACCCCAAACCTTTTAAGTCCCTGTTTACCCCTGTCTTAGCTGAAATTATCAACTTATAAAGAAGAAAGATTTATTTTGGCTCATGGTTTTAAGGATTTTAGTCCTTGATCACTTGGCCCTGTCAGTTCAGGCCTGTGACAGGGTAGAACATCATGGTGGAGACTATTGGAGAGTAAAATTTCTCACTGAGTGGAAGCCAGAAAGGGTAGGGTAGGGAAGGAGGATGTTCTGGTATAGTCTTCAAGGGTCCTTCCCAGTGACCGTCTTCCTCCAACTGGGCCTGAACTTTTCAAGTTTCTCCCTCCCAGTACCACCATGAGCTGGGAACCAACACACATAACACATGACCAAGATATGTGAGCTTTGGCCAACACTTAGGATCCAAACAACATCCCCCATATTTTATCACTGATACATACAAGAAGCCGTATTGCTCTGTCTTCATACTGTGTTTGTATTTGATCACTTTTCACTGCATCCATTAATACTGTCCTTGTTTCAAGAGCCATTTCTTGTTTAATGAACAATAGCCTTCTAAACTTGTCTCTTTACATTCTGTTCTGCCCTCTTCTGACCACAAGTTTGTAGGAGAGTGGTTTCTTCCTTTCTCCTTTCCACAGCCCTTCTTCATCAGCCCATGT